AAGTATTAAGATATAACCCCTGCAACTGGACAAGACCCATTAGGGCACAATTGTTATCCATAAATATAAGTGTTACACCAGATAACATCCTACATCACGACAACAAGGGATAGTGCCTGAAGTAGAACTACCAATAATTCAAGCCAAGATAAACTAAGTGGTCACAGATGATTGTTCAGATGAATAGTGGGCCAAACCAGAAAGTTACCAAACATAAATTCCTGGAATACTATCTGCATGAACAAGACTTACCCTTTTCCGCCCTTTAGGCTTGCTTAAAAATCGTGCCTCTGTTTTCATAGGCCAGCTTAACTCAAAGCAAGCAGGTGTCCTGCACATAAAACACAGTTATTGAAGACCCCTTGAAAAAAGTTTATTCTTGCAAATGTAATAGTATTAATAAACTACAAACCAAAAGTATTCATTGAAGTCATCATAATTCCGCCAGGCAGAATGCGCAGCTTTCCCATTATTGTTTCGAACAGTTTCCTACACAAGTATCAATTTCAAAAGTAAGATAAGAGCTTAGCATGCCACAACCATATAGCAAAAACGTTAATGGAAGACATTTTGAATCAACCTTAACTTTGTCCAGAGATAGCATGTTACAAATTGCTCAGAAATACAGAAGTATGATCTAAACTCAAAACTGAAGTAGGAATGTACATTCAAAATTAAGAGCTAGAACCACTTAGGTACTATGTCAGGAAACTGCTGGAAAGATCTTTCAGATTATTCTCAAAAGTTAGACAGTAGAAGTCAGTGGGCTCTGAAAATCAATTAAAATTTCCAAATTTCAACTGAATCTCAATTGGAAAAATTATCAATGAATAAAGTTAGTAGGCGATAGCTACTAATCTAAATTGGTTATTCCACCTAGGAGATCCTTAGGGTAGGAAAAAAAAATGACAATAGTTGCATTAGGCTTAACACCTAGTGTGCTTAACAAAAGGTAATATACAGGCTGAACAGTTTAAAAAACTAAATAATCTGAATTATCTTTCCAAAAGCTCTAGTTGAGTGAATGAAGCCATTCTCAAACTATCAATTTTTCCATAGCATGCAAATTATGTATAAACATTCCAATAATTGGAGGAAAAAAAGGTACATTAAACTGGCAAATGGAAAGCTACTTTAAGAAGAAATTAAGATGCACAGAAAAAATTGTAATATCAAGTACTCACAGCTGACATTGTTTCATATATGGGGCAGATAATTCGCTCAAGAAATGAGACCGAACCACTCTCAGTTAAGCAACTGTCAGCAAAGACAGCTTCTCCATGATCTAACTTTGCGTCCAATTCCTTTGCCATCTAACAAACAAAAGCAACTGAGAGTGAAAAGAGCTATCTTTTTACTAACATTCCAGACGAAAAAGGTCCTTGCTAATTAAGACTATGCCAGGCTCGTGCTTTAACAAATATTAGAAGCCAAGATGCAGAGTCAATCAGATGCTCTGACAGCAGAGCAACACTAACCAAAAACTGTAAACCTAGGCATTTAGATTTTTTTTTCCTCAGCAAGGAATACAAAAAAAAGAAATCATTTTGCTAATCAAAACAAAACACGAGTATACTGATAACAGAAAATTAGTGTATAATCAAAAACAAAAATGGTATCTTACATGGTGAAAAATATAGCAAATACACTCCGGAAGAAATCGGACATTAGCAGCTTCACCCCAGATTAGGAAGTACAAAGAAACAAGAAACAGTTTCCTGTCCCGATTAATGGCTTCTAACCTAATTAAAAAAACATAATTAATTACTTCACATGAATTAAGCTAGCATTTCCATATCAGATCTAGACAAAAGAAAATATTACTTGTTGTACACAACGCGCATCCTCAAGTATTTGCACCACTTGATGTAGTTCTCCAAAACCTTCAAGAAAACCTCATTGACTGCTTTCTCATCAATTTTCTACACAAAAAGGTCGATGAGAGGTAAAGATTTTGAGATGACAATCTTGAAACCAACAGGAATCATGACTCGTTCTCAGTCAAGGGGTATGCCACAACAGAATATTGCTGTGAAAGGAAGTACTCACTGGGTCATTCTGGCCAGGTATACTAAGCTGGGACTGTGCATTTGAAAGTGTGAGAACCAGATGCTCCCGTTGGTTCCTTACATTATCTCTCTACACAATGTTCAAGACAAAAACTGTAAGCGACAAGAAAAAACAACAATCAGGGAAGATTTTGATCCAATGAGACTAGTGTACCTGAAACCCAAAGATGTACCCCAGCAAATCAAACATATCTGCATCACGTTGTCCGGAAATCTCAAAGCTTTCAGGCAGGCTAGGGAAATGTTCAGTATATTTAATTGCCTGTACTGCACCACGCACCTAGGTAGAGACAATAGCTTCTTTCTGAGTGAGAAAATACTTATAAAATGAAAATATATGTAAGTTTTCGTTCCTTGTTTGACTTACTTCAGGGAAAACCCCAATTGCATTGGTCATGGACTGGGCTTCTAGCGGGACAATGTTGTAAGGAGTTAGCTCCGCAGACAAAGTGGCATCAGCTTTTTTAATTCGCCCAAGCTGAGAACAAAGTCAGCAAATATCAATCAGCTCAAACGACATAAGTATATAACATGAAAAACTCAGTGATTGATTAATGATTAGAGAAAACAGTTATAATCCATCCATTCAAATGCAACTTCTGGACCAAGTTCTTCAATTATTGTGGGTATGCTATGAACGCTTAGAATCACCGAAACAGGAAGTGAGAAGAAGATTAAAGTTCTTTGGAATTACGACACACAACAGGTAACATACCTCCTCCCTGATAGACCTTCCAACACCATCTGGATCTGCATCTCTGCTTAGCACCTCTAACACTTCGATTAAGGCCCTCAACGTAGCGAAGACCTTCCTCATCTTCAAGATCCTATGACAAGAGAGAAAATACCAACTGGTTAATTAAAAGAAAAAGTAAGACAACAGTGGATATCAGAAATCATCTCCACTATACAAAATCTCATCCATATACGTGAACAGAGGCGATCATAATTTTTATGTACCACAATAACTTGTAAGGATACCAAACAAACTAATCTACACCCAGAAAACCATTACCAGATGAAAGAACATGCATCAACATAATTCAGGATGCATGGTTCAGATTATTTTGGGCAGTTTATAGAACAAAATCCAAACACTGTTCAGAAAAAAAGAAGACCACAAAGATAAACAATGCACATACTCCCCCACATTTGAAGAAAACGTTGTTCCTGATTCCCTCCATTTCTGCTCTTCCCTTTGGATATCATCCACTCTATGCCGTCTTTTATAAACTTGGTAAAACTGCCATAGGCGTTCAATATCACGATCTCGGTCTATAGAAGCACCATCTCTCTTCACAAGTTTTTGCTGCAAAAGTAATTAAACCCCTTCAATTAAGAATGAGTAAACATGCAATTTGACAAAAGATAAACGCAAACCAAAGAAAGCATGATTTGGCGTATAAATCTCATATCGAGTGGTAACCAGATGCCACTCTTGGAACTGGAGAGTGCAAAAACTATACTACAAACGTAGCTTAATGATGCATTTAGACAGCTATTTGCATGTGATCAGATCCAATAGACAGATATATGGTGAGGCGACTGTACTTTTTTCTGTTTGCAGCAAGAATAGACCTATCTAGATGATAAAAAATACCTTAATCACTGACATCAAACCAGTCTTGAATTGAAGAACACCTCTACCATCACTGTTGGGGTCCAAGTTCTGTGCCATAGAGTACGCTTGCTCACATACTACACGAGACAAAAACAATGTCAAGAGAAAAAGAGCAAACAATAGAACGGAGAATGCCATCAACTTAGCTAAGCACAAACAATATCTTAAGAGACTTAAACCAGTGAATCTCATAACCAAAACCACAATGAAGACACAAACTTCAAACCCACAAAATAAAAAAAAACGAAGACTTACGAATTCTAGCAACATGAGGATCCTCGGACTGAATCTCATCAGCAGCTTGTAAGATGGCATCGATGTTGGTAGCTCGACCAAGTGAAGGCGGAACTGCTCCGGCAAGTCCGCTATTAACCCGTTCATGACTTTGACCTGAATTTCTCAACTGCTCTCTTCTCAAAGTGGCTCGAACCAGCCTATCCCAATTACTATAAACCCTAGCCATATTCAAAATCCTTGAAAGAGGATTTCAAATTTTCACAAATCAAAAGCTCGAGCCCTAAACACCATGAAACACATCAA